TTTCCATATGCACCTAAGGAATGTTCATATGTGTATTTGCTTCCGAAACCTCCTTTGGGAAGGTTGGAGCTTCCGATACGTCCCTGTTCCAAGTAGAATGTGTTATTGTGTTATATAGATAACTTGAAAAACACACATAAACCGTATATTTTTGCAATCGTGTTTATTGTCTTCACGTTTATTTTATATTATAATATAAAACCACTATACCCTGTAAACTTAATAATAATAATAGGCCAAATTTAATTCCGTTTCTATTTTCAGAGTGATTAAGAGGTGCAAAGAAATATGTATTTAACTTTTAAACTTAAAATGGTCTTTTCTGTTCTGTTTCTTTTTCAAAACTGCATCACGGCATTTGCTGCTATCAATACAGAAGCATCCGTTTCGATACATGTCTCAGCAAGGAGCACAGCCCTATTAAAAGCCATGCTCCATGTGCCCCTTTTATACTTTGAGCACCTGCCCCTCCAAAGGTCTCTGCACGGCCCTGACTTCCTGTATTCTAAGAATGAATACAGATGAAACGTTTCAGTCTTACACACAAAACTGTTTGGCTGGTTCTATGCAGCTCCTGGAATTGAAATCCCAATCTTATGTATTTAAATAACAGAATCATTGTGAACTAAATTAGTTTGTGTATTAAACTTACTATTTTGAATTTGAATATATCATGAAATGATTTAAGTTAATACATTGTGATGCTTCTTCAGGATTGGAATTTGGTACTAGTAATGTACTATTTGTGTAAAACACCTTTGTTACTCAGAAAACCCTGGTTCAGACTCTAGGAGTAAATGCTGAAATTAAGTGTTATTGTATATCTTGTCTTGTCTTGTCTTGTCATCTTGTGTCTTTTGCACAAGATGACTATAGGGGAAGATCTGCTAGTGTTTCCTGTTCTGTTCTGTGTGGTTTTAAAGGATTTCTGTTATGTCTGCATCGTGCTGAAGAACATGGGCAGTGGTTAGGTCGAGGATGTCTACAAACCTCAAGACTACATTGCTTCATTTAAAAAGCAGAAATTGCAGTTGTTGATGCATTGGTGGTCTTTCTGTTATTTTTGTGAGCATGTGTGTTATTGCTAGCTGGAAAATGTAAGCACTTAAAAAGACCAATTAAGCACAACTACAGTAAATTAAGGCAACAAAGCATGCATGCAATGAATTAAAAATGGATAGAGAAACATCATCATCACACTAAATAATGGGGCCCCGCCCGCCAAAAAAAAACTAAAGTTCAAAGACGCTTGGCAACTGTGGCTGGACGTAAAGGAGGAAGATATACAAGAGAAAGAAGGAGGAAGTCTTCTATGCATGTTACAGCTGCTTTAAAACTAAAGTAGATAGATAGGTTCCGTTCATGTTCAGTTTAGTTTTTATCGTCCCGCTGTAAAGCAAGAAGTTCTCCTGTTTTGGTGCGTGGATGTAAAGCTGAAGCTTTATCTATTTCATCGCATCCTTCATTAGTAAGCATCCTTCACCAGGACTGCAACAAGGTTAGTGTATATAATGGTGTTAATGTAACGGTGTGAATTTGTGTGCGTTTGAGTTATTAATGCACAGTTTATAAAAAGTTGTACCCTTATTTTTAAAATGTCCAAAATTAAATCGAAACTACACCCTGGGGTAAAATAAATAAATAAATACAAACCGTTTTAATTAGGCTTTGCTGGGAATAACTGACAGAATTCTAAAAACTGTAATATTTGTCCAAGTGGCCACTGTTTTGTTTTATTTGTTTGTTTAATTATTTATTTAATGGACGGGATGCATGATGCCCCTGGGTGTATGCACTCCGATGCTTTTATTTATCTCAGTGTTTTAAAATTGTATATTAATATACTATAATAATATAAATATATGAAAGTTGGATCCATGTTTGGAGTTAATGCATAATACACAGGCTATAATCAGAAAGCTTTAGATATTTTGGTGTTCCGTGTTCCTGTTTTGTGCAGTCTCACAGATATTATTGACGCTTTTCCACAGCTATTTGATTGGCCTGCTGATGTGGTAAGTTTACGCCATAAATCTCAATATAGATTCCTGTTGAAACAGAATTAGTGAAAATATGGATTTCAAAAGGCAATGATTCAAAACAACTGAGAAAGTGCTTGAGCATAAGCATGACATATTTTCTCCTTAAAACAACATATTTTCTCATAATAACGAGATGTTTTCTTGTTAAAACGACACCTTTTCTCGTAATATGAGATGTTTTCTTGTTAAAACGACATATTTTCTTGTAATAACGAGATGTCGTAAAAACTATATAATTATCTCGTTAAAACGACATCTTTTTTCGTTAAAATTACATATTTTTTCTTGTAATTACGGACGACATATTATGTCATAAAAATTATATGTTTTTCCATTATAGATATACGGTAGGCTATATGTGAGCGAGCTAAGCGACTGTCCGCGCTGCTGTCGCCACAGTCTGACATAAAGTCTACAATATAGTGCTATCCAATAACTGCACTCAGACCCATGACTCCTTTATACGGTGACGCATTGCTCCCACACACATATTTTTTTCCCACTCAATTATGTTGTAATAACGAGATGTTTTCTCGTTAAAACGACATCTTTTCTCGTAATAAGGACATATTATGTCATTAAAAACTATGTTTTCCCGTTATTATAGATATATGGTAGGCTATGTGTGAGCGAGCTAAGTGACTCGCAAACGAAAAGTAAGCTAGATTTGTCGTATTTTTTGTTCGTGGGTTAAAAAATTAGCTTGCTATTTGTGCGTGGGCGGCCCTAAAAACGCCACTTTTCGCTCAGCCTGTCTTTACTGTCTATCCCATTACACAGAATAAGAGTTCATCTCATGTACCTGTCACAAATTCAGCCTCTGTGGCTCCCTCCGATCACCACCAGAGGGAACCATCACCGGAGTACTGAGCGATCCTTTCGGACGCCAATTCCCACAATGCCCCATGCCAGAGACTAATCACCTGCACAGGTGTTTCCTATTGCCCGGTCTGTTTAAACTGTGCCTTCCCTGCTCTCATTGCGAAGTCTTGTTTTGCCTTGCAGACATTTTGGAGAATTTTCCCTGTGTTGGATTATCTGTTGATTACCTGGACTGTTTGCCCGTTTACGATTACTTGCTGCCTACCTATTCTGACCTTGCCTGCCTTGTTGATTCATGCTATTGTTTGTCTGCCGCCTGCCTCGACCCTGATCACGAACACTGTTTACGATTCTGCCCAGCCTTCGTTGTGTCTAACACCAGTTACCAATCTATTCCTGTACGACCTGCCTTGTGAACTAATAAAGCTGCACTTGGATCCTAACGCCAATGCCTCTCTGTTACAGTACCGCTCTGCAAATTAGTCGAAATAACTTTTCTTCAAACTGTCTGGCTGTTGTATAGGCTGTATTTCTTGCAAATATACATCTCATATAAAGCACAACACTGCTCTTCTTGGTTCGGCGGCGCCGGCGCGATCCCTTAGGCTACACTGTAATAACAGAGGAAAGAAATGTCTGCTTTATTTTCTATACTTCCACAATAACAACAAAACGTTACAAATTGCTTTTCTAAAATAACAGGGTGCGCTTTCTGGCACACCTTATGTGTAAAGGTCTACTTGAATAAAACCATCAAAAACAAATTTGTGTTTATTTAATTTGTATAGCCTCCCATAAGAAGAACGCGATGCAATGCGAGGCTTGATTCAGCTAAAGATATCCTTTAATAATATATAATCACTAATACATAATAAACATAATCAGACTAAAGTATCAAAGCTGCCCACGAATGTGAAACAAATATTAAAGCATAAGCTCATTTGTTTATTTATAATTATATATATTATATATATTATTATTATTATTATTAGCCTATTAGAAAATATCTTTATTTTTGTTCGTATTTCGATTTGTTGTTTTGAATGATTTGTTCGATTTGTTGAAAATATGTATTTTAATGAGAAAATATCTTGTTATTATGAGAAAAGATGTCGTTTTAATGAGAAACAAAATGGCATAAGCGAATTGGACCAAATTTCTCATATTGTGATTTCTACACTCAGTTTAATTCTTTCAGGATGCTCAAGACTGTCTACATTATAATATATATCTGGTCTATAACAATCTAAAATAGATTCCATATCCTCCAGCTTTATATAATAACATTTATATGCATTCTGTATTGGGATAGTGATCACAGCATCTCTTACCTCAGCATCAGAATCCATGTATATTTACTGTATACTTACTGAAATGCATAATGTACTATACTTTTCTGTCAACAAACAGTGTATCAGATTGCTAGCAGTGCGCTCACGTTTCATAACAAAGAATAAGCTCTCAAACGGAGACTCGCTCCTAAAGCCTCACCGGACGCGCGCTCATTCCTCTCCACGGCGCGCTGAACGTTCTTCATCATATATAACTTGTAATTTGATAATCATAGACTGATATGATCCGAGTCGCGTTTGCTGCAACTCATCCGTGGCGGAGAAACGCCTCCAATTCCGCTTCCAGAAACTACAACAGCCAGAGGCCACTAGTTGACCGACCGGATAGAGACCCCGCTCTCTTGCCCACTCTGGTGACGCAGCGGTGTCAGAGTTCACAAAGGCTGTAATGGCCGATCTGAGAGACATGTAATCTGACCAATTGCAGCCCAGAACCGACCGCAGATCTATATAACATCAGACGTGCTGCCAGCGCGCTGGAATGAGATGGAGAGCCATTATTTCCAGACGCGCTGGATTCCGTTACCTGGACAGAACGCTCTATAAAGAGATCCTAATCTAAAAGATAATATAGAGTATATAGATATTTGTGGCTGTTTGCGGCTAACTGAAGCAGTGCTACAAGTAGGAATGTTACATACAATGTTTTTTTTTACATCGCAATTCAATTGAAGATAATTTGATCTATGATTGTCACACAATGAAATAATCTACATCGACAAAATTCTAGAGAATGAGAGCTTTCTTGTGATATATAACTTGACTTTTTTTGTGAAAAATATATAAAATTCGCAATGGTTTCGTGTGTGGGACGAATACATTTCTAAGCTTAATTGTACTGCTTTATGAATATAAAACCAAAAGGAATGGTATTCTTTGTAAAGAAGACACTCCAAGCTTTCAAATGAACCCATATATGGGCTGATACCATATAAGGAAGGCTATGTAAATGAAGCATACACATTTTTAACGCGATTTTGGACCCGTATCCGGGTCCACAGAGTTTAAGAGGTTTTAACAGGTCAATAACCACATTCACATGTAAAATGGGAATTTGCACATAGTCCAATTATGCAGACAAGCTTACCTAATACTAAAAACATGGATCTTTCTTCTTGTTCTGGTTAACAAATGCTTAAACACAGCATGCAAGAAATTAAGACCTAAGTGTATGTAAAATAAATATGTATATATTGTGGCTCAGTGGTACAGCATTGCGTTAGCAGCACAAAAGGTCGTGGGTTCAATTCCCAGGGAACACACATACTAGTAAAATAATGTATAGCCTGAATGCACTGTAAGTCACTTTTAAGTGTCTGCTAAATATGTAAATGTATGTACATATACAATTAATTAAGGGTATATGTTAAATATAAGCATGAACAGTGATGAGTATTGCACGCATTTTTTATTGTACAGTGAGGTAAACCTTTCAAAGAGGAAGTGGCCTAGAGGCAAATTCCTGAGTCATTTTTTCAAGCCATTCTCCTTGTTCTTTAAGGGTAGGAAGGGGAGTACCGATGATTCACTCAGCAGTACCCGACTGTCCTCTGTAGTCTTCTGATGTTTGACTTGGAAGCTGAGCCAAAGCAGTAATAGAAGTGCAGAGGACAAACTCTATTACTGCAGAATTACTGAATCATTAAACTGAGATGTGTAGAGTGTGCTGATGATGTTAACTCTGACAAGATGATAACTGCAACAGATCAGCCGTTAAGACACAAGCGTTAACTGGGCATGAGCTAGAGTGGTGCCTTTTAACTTCGTTATAGTGCATATGCTGCATAGTTCAGCTTTGTGTCTGTGATAAAAGATCAGTTTCACCCCCGTAGCACTTTCTAATTTCTAATTGTTCAACTGAGTGCTACAACACTCCCTGACCTCTCTCATGCACTTTCAAGATTTTAAGGAGGACAAAAACACCCTCCAAGTCCCATCCTTAGGCAAATCAATAATAAAATATCACAGAATTAACATTCAAAAGGAGATCTTACATTATTCAATTGCTTTATATGTTGAAAATCCATCAATAATACTTAAACTGTAAATATGATGGATACTTCATTAAGATTCAGTTGTTGTTGTTTTCTTAAAGATGGCTCAGAATCGCAGACTCTCCAGTGCCAGTCATGACAGCAGTGCATCAGATCACAGCAGGGATGTATCTTCTAGTATGGCCAGTGAGTATAAATTTCATGTTGAATTTGAGCAACATTAGTTTTACGTAAGGCAGCATAAACATTGAATTTACGTTGGCAGCACAAAGCATGAGATCTCCCTCAGAAACCACAATCTGATGGCAATGGTAGATAAGAGTAGGCTGCAGTCAGAGGAGGACATATAGCACGTTTTACTTTTAACTTTGCAGAAATTACTTATAACTTATAG